TCCTCTCCTCTATCCCTCTTCTATCCGCCTCCCACTCTCTCCCTATTTATTTCAAAACCCCCTTCCCCTCCCCCTTTTCTGATGAAGGGTCTAGGCCCGAAACGTCAGCCTCTCTGTTCAATCGGAAATATTGTTCAGTGGGTTCACTGGTAAGGAGTAGAGGGAATGTATTCAGTCTGACCACGGCAGATCCACATCACTTAAACTGGTTTCATATCCTTAAATACCGTTTTCCAACAAATACCTCTTGAATCTAGATGTGGAAAAACAATGATGGAAATATTCAGCAGGTCCAGTACTGTTTGTGGGAAGCTCTGAAACCTGAGGAAGGGTGACCAACACCGAAGGAGGAGATTAGACACCTCGCAGTTCAAGGGAATAAACATGCACAGCACGGTGAGGGCCCATTAGTTACTCTAATGAAACTGTGTCCATCACAACACACTACTGCTGCTGCTGCTGGAATCATAGAATCCCGACAGTGTGGAAACAGGCCCTTTGGCCCAACAAGTCCACACCGACCCCCAGAGCATCTCACCCAGATCCATTCCCCTATAACCCACTTAACTTACACATCCATAAACACGAGGGGCAATTTAGCCTATCCAATCCACCTAACCTATACATCGTTGGACTGTGGGAAGAAACCAAAGCACCCAGAGGAAACCCGGGTCCCTGGTGCTGTGAGGCAGCAGTACTAACCACTGAGCCACTGTGCTGCCCTCAGTTGATGAGCTGGAATCTGAGCTTCAAACACTGCAGCACATCTGGGAGGAGGAGAAGTACCTGGACACTTTGTTTCAGGAGGCGGTCACACAGACAGATTAAGTACTTCAAATTCTGTCAGTGATCAGGGACAGCAGGGTGTGATTGCAAGTAAGGCAGGTAGGTGGATCCTGAATTCAGGAACAGAGGAGCCTTAGCTCTTGACCTTGTTCAACAGGTATGAGGTACTTGTTCCCTGTGAAGATGAGGAACAAGGCGGTAAGGAGGATGAGCCAGCTGACCACTGCACCATGGTACAGGAGCCATTCAAGCGGGGGGGAGCAAAAAGACAGGTGGTAGATGTAGTGGATTCTATAATTAGGGGGATTGATAGTATCCTTTGTAGGCAGGATTGAGAGTCCTGCATTCAGATGCAGGACTCTCAAGAGATAACAAGGTGTAGAGCTGGATGAACACAGCAAGCCAAGCAGCATCAGAGGAGCAGGAAAGCTGATGTTTCGGGATTCTGGAATTCAAAAAGAAGATATAAAAGCATAAAGTCACTTTTCCTGAATGCTCGTAGCATTCGAAACAAGGTAGATAAGTTAGCAGCACAAAAATCTCCCCTCCCCCTACTGCATCCCAAAACCAGCCCAGCTTGTCCCCGCCTCCCTAACCTGTCCTTCCTCCCACCTGTCCCCTCTTCCCACCTGCAGCCCCATCCCCATCTCCTACCTACTAGCCTCATCCTGCCCCCTTGACCTGTCCGTCTTCCCTGGACTGACCTATCCCCTCCCTAACTCCCCACCTACACTCACCTTTACTGGCTCCATCCCCACCTCTTTGACCGGTCTGTCTCCTCTCCACCTATTTTCTCCTCTATCCATCTTCTATCTGCCTCCCCCTCTCTACCTATTTATTTCAGAACCCCCTTCCCCTCCCCCATTTCTGAAGAAGCGTCTAGGCCTGAAACGTCAACTTTCCTGCTCCTCTGATGCTGCTTGGCCTGCTGTGTTCATCCAGCTCTACACCTTGTTATCTCAGGATAAATAGGGTAGTCACGAGGATTTTTAGCTAGTGAATTGGGGGGAAGGGAAGGGGAAAAATGACAGGAAGTATAATGGTGAATAGAGAGAAAGCAGCAGGTTAATGTGTGCAGGAGGATTTAACTACATCGAGGACTATGAAAGAAGTTGAAGGAAAACTCAGGAGATATTATTGATGGAGATTCTGGAATTCAAAAAGAAGATATAAAAGCATAAGGTCACTTTTCCTGAATGCTCGTAGCATTCGTAACAAGGTAGATAAGTTAGCAGCACAAATCATCATGAATCATCATCCGTTTCTGAAGAAGGGTCTAGGCCCGAAACGTCAGCCTTCCTGCTCCTCTGCTGCTTGGCCTGCTGTGTTCATCCAGCTCTACACCTTGTTATCTCATCATGAATGAGTTTGATTTAGTAGCCATTATGGAGACATGGTTGCAGGATGGTCATGACTGGGAAGTAAATATCCAGGGATATCAGACTATTTGGAAGGACAGATCGGAAGGGTGAGGTGTAGCTCTGATATTTAAGGAAGACATCGGGGCAATCGTGACAGATGATCGAGGTTCTATGGGGAATAAGGTTGAGTCCATTTGGGTGGAAATTAGAAATTCTAATAAGAAAAAGTCTCTGATAGGCGTAGTCTGTAGGCCACCAAATCATAACATCACATTTGGGTGCACAATAAATGAAGAAATAACTAATGCCTGTAAAAATGGTATGGCAATTATCAGAGGAGATTTTAATCTACATGTTGATTGGTTGAACCAGATCAGTCAAGGCAGCTTGAGGAGGAGTTCATTGAATGTATCTGCAATAGTTTTCTTGAACAGTATATAATGGAACCGATGAGGGAGCAAGCTATCCTAGATCTGGTCCTGCGTAATGAGACAGGAATAATTAATAGTCTCATAGTTAGGGATCCTCTTGGAAGGAGCGAACACAGTGTAGTTGAACTAAGAATACAGATGGAAAATGAGAAGATAAAATCCAATACCAGGGTCCCGTGCTTAAACAAATGAGACTACAAAAGGATGAGGGAGGAGTTGGCTGAAGTAGCCTGGAAGCAAAGTCTTTATGGTGGGACAGGTGAGGAACAGTAGAGGACTTTCAAAGTAATTTTCAAAGTGCTCAGCAAAACTGTATACCAGTAAAAAGGAAGGACTGTAGAAAAAAGGGTAATCAGCCATGGATGTCGGAGGAAATAAGGGAGGCTATCAATTTGAACGATAAGGCATACAAAGTGGCAAAGACTAGTGGGAAACTAGAAGATTGGGAAAACTTTAAAGGTTAGCAGAAAGCCACAAAAAAAAAGCTATAAAGAAAAGTAAGATAGAATATGAGAGTAAACTAGCTTAGAATATAAAGACAGATAACAAACGTTTCTACAAATATATAAAATGAAAAAGGTAAACACTGGTCCTTTAGAGGATGAGAAGGGGGATTTAATAATGGGAAATGAGGAAATAGCAGAGGCATTGAACAGGTATTTTGTGTCGCTCTTCACAATAGAGGACACGAATAACATGCTAGTATTTGATGACAAGGAGACCAAGGTAGGTGAGGATCTAGAAGCAATCATTATCATGAAAGGTAAGAAAGTGTTGGGCAAGCTAATGGAGCGAAAGGTAAACAAGTCTCCTGGCCCTGATGGAATGCATCCCAGGTTCCTAAAAAGATGGTGGGAGAAATAGCAAAGGCACTCGTGGTAATTTTCCAAAATTTGCTGGAGTCTGGGGCAGTTCCAGCAGTTTGGAAAACAGCAAATGTGACGCCATTGTTTAAAAAAGGAGGTAGACAAAAGATGGGGAATTATAGGTCGGTTAGCTTAACTTCTGTAGTGGGGAAAATGCTTGAATCTTATCATCAAGGAAGAAATAGCAAGACATCTAGATAGGGATTGTCCCACTGGGGAGATGCAGCATGGGTTCATGAAGGAAGGTCACGTTTAACTAATTTACGGAATGCTATGAAGACGTTGAGTGGAGTGGACAACGGGACCTAGTAGATTTGGTGTATCTAGATGTCTAAAAGGAATTCGACAAGTGCTGCACAAAAGGCTGCTTCATAAGATAAAGGGGCATGGTGTTACGGGTAATGTATTAGCATGGATAGAGGATTACTTAATTAACAGGAAGCAAAGAGTGGGGATAAATGAGTGCTTTTCTGGTTGGCGATCAGTGACTAGTGGTGTCTCTGGGATTGGTGTTGGCACTGCAATTGTTTACAATTTACATAGATGATTTGGAGTTAGGGACCATATATAGTGTGTCAAAGTTTGCGATGACACTAAGATGAGTGGTAGAGCAAAGCATGCAGAGGACTCTGGAAGGTCATAGAGGGTTATAGATAATTTAAGAGAGTGGGCAAAGGTCTAGCAAATGGAGTACAATGTTGATAAATGTGAAGTCATCCATTTTGGTAGGAATAACAGTAAAAAGGACTATTATTTGAACAGTAAACAATTGCAGCATGCTAGACAACAAGGTGTAGAGCTGGATGAACACAGCAGGCCAAGCAGCATCATAAGAGCAGAAAGGCTGACGTTTCGGGCCTAGACCCTTCATCAGAAAACTGCTGTGCAGAGGGATTTGGGTGTCCTTGTGCATGAATTGCAGAATATTGGTTTGCAGGTGCAACAGGTAATTGAGAAGGCAAATGGAATGTTGTCCTTCAGTGCTAGATTGAGTTTAAAAGCAAGGAGGTTATGTTATGTATAGGATGCTGGTGAGGCTGCACCTGGAATACTGTGCAGTGTTCTGGTCTTCTTACTCTAAAAAGGATGTACTGGCACTGGAGGGGATGCAGAGAGAATCACTGGGCTGATTCTGGAGTTGATAGGGTTGGCTAGTGAGGACATCCTGAATAGACTGGGACTATATTCATTGGAATGTATAAGAATGAAGGGTGGGATCTTATAGAAACATATGAAATTATGAAGGAAATAGATAAGATAGATGGATGGGGGATGTTTCCACTGGCGGGTGAAACTAGAACAAGAGGGCATAGCCTCAGACTTAGGGAGAGCAGATTTAGGACTGAATTGAGGAGGATGTCTACCCAAAGGATTCTGAATCTGTGGAATTTCCTGCCCAGTGAAGTGGTTGAAGTTTCCTCGTTGAATGTGTATAAAGCTAAGATAGATACATTTTTGCACAGTACATGAATTAAACGCTATGGTGAGAGGGCGGGTAAGTTGAGCTGAGGCCGTGAAAAGATCAGCCATGATCTTATTGAATGGCAGAGTGGGCTTGAAGGGCCAGATGGCCTAATCCTGCTCCTGGTTCTTGTGTTCTTATGTTCTGAAATGGAAGAAGCTCAGTAGGTCTCGTAGCATCTGTGGATGGTTTTAACTCTGGTGTGACTTCTTCAGAATACTTCTCCATCATTTCCTGTGTTTGATTTGGATTTTCAGCATTCACAGTATTTTTCTTTTATTCAATACATCTCACTCACCAGTTTTACCGGTTTCATCTTGTAGGCACGTTCTAGAAGACATCTCTGGCTTTTCTGTGCTGGTCAAGTGCTAGAAATAGCAATATTTTCTGGATATCACGTTTAGAGTTTGCTTTGTTCTAGTTTCTTCAAGTATTTCTTCATTTTTCTTATAAGATGTAGGACGAGGAGCCAAAATAGGCCATTCAGCAGTCGACTTTATTTTGCTGTTCAACGATGGCTGATCTGTTGATCCTCGACACCGTTGTTATTTCATTATGAAAGATAGAATAGCATTACATATATAAAACTCCACACACATAAACACGTGCACAATATCTTAGCTGCGTTCAATATTATCTTTTCAGCTGTGACCAAGTCTTCCTAAGTTCTGGACAGGGCATCCGTAATCACATCCAATTTTCTGGCAACATGGATGATTTTCAAGTGGTAGAGTTGAAGAAACAAACTGGCATGCTGGGTCTTAAACCTATTACTGAAGTTAGCAGGTTGTGGGCAGTATAGACTGGATCTCTCTCTCTGTGCATTTCAAACATATATCTTCAAGTGTTTGAGAACCTGTAATAAACTAAAGGTTTCCTTCATGACTATGGAGTACTCTTTCTGATGCTTGTTTATTTTTTTTTCAAGAAGTAACCGATCAGCCTATCTATTCTGAGTTCATCTTCCTGAAGGAGGCCAGTGCCTTCCATGAAATCACATGCATCACTGTCTGCTTTAAATGCCTGTTTAAAGTTTGGAGCTGCAAGTACAGGCTCACTTATTAAAATGGCTTTCAGCTTTTCAGAAGCTGTTTGGCATTTCTCAGTGCACACAACCTTTGCTCTATTGTGCAGTAAGTCTGTCAGTGAGGCATCTATTTTGATTTTAGGATGTATTTTCAGTAGAAGCTACACACTTGCAAGAATCTTATGATTTCCCATTTTATTGCAGGAATAAGGAACTATTCAACTGCTTGTGTCTTTGCAACCCTGAGCAGTACTTGTCCTGGCTCAATACGTGTTCCACATAGGTCATTGGGGCCTTAGTGAAGTCGCTCTTTGTGATTTTGACCACCAGGTCAGTTAACATTATTTTCTGGAAAAGGGCTTCCAGTTTATCTAGAGAAAGTACGAACTACCGATGCTGGAGTCAGAGATAACACCGTGTGGAACTGGAGGAGCACAGCAGACCAGGCAGCATCAGAGGAGCAGGAAAGTTGACGTTTCAGGTCGGGACTCTTCCAGTTTATCTAAGTGTGTTTCCCATGTGTTGCTGTACACTAGGAAGTTGTCTAGTTACACAATGCAGTTTGATACTACAGCCACTATCTAGTGGTATGTTGAAGTGACAGGCAACAAAAAGCTCAAGATCATTTTTGCGTTGGAGCGTAAAGCAGTCGCCCAGTCGGTGCTTCGTCTCCCCAATATAAAGGAGACTACGTTGCGAACAGCGAACACAATATACTGGATTGAGTAAAGTGCAAGTAAATCACTGCTTCATCTGGATGGTGTGTCTGGGTAGCATCAGAGGAGCAGGAAAGTTGACAATTTGGGTTGGTAGAAAGGTCCCAACCTGAAACAACTTTCCTGCTCCTCTGATGCCGCCTGGCCTGCTGTGTGCCTCCAGCTCCACACTGTGTTATCTCAGACTCCAGCATTGGCACTTCTTACCATCTTACTATCTCTAGATAAATTGGAAGCCCTTTTCCAGAAAATAATGTTAACTGACCTGGTGGTTAAATTCACAAGGAGCGACTTCACTATTCTACCTTAAATTCCCCCTAAACCTCCTGCCCTTTACTTTAATTCTATGCTCACTAGTTATTGACCCGTGCTGACTAACGTGAAACATTTCTCCCTGTCCACCCTGTCTATGCCCCTCAGTTTTGTAAAGCTCAATTGGGTCTCCTTCAGCCTTCTTTGCTCTAGGGAAACTAACCCCAGCCTATGTAGTCTCTTGTCATGGCTGAAATCTGCCAATCAAGACAATATCCTGGTGACTGTCCTCTCTACTTTGTAGAGCTGTGTTTGGGTATGAGCACAACTGATGAACTCCAGCTACTGCTGGTAGGCTCAATTATTTGGTGCTGCAATATGTTTTTAGTCTCCTCCCAAACATGGGCCAGCTTTTCTGGCCTAAACAATGAGGATATGACCTTCTGGAAGGGATTCTCCCATATCCACATCATGTAGATCTAGGGTGTTACAGCCTGGCTTATCTCTAAACAATTTCTTAAATGCATGGAGCAGTCTCTTGAAGCCTGCTCACTGTTCTGTGCTTAAGTAGATGAATAAGGAATTGAAATTTGCTAGTATTTGTATGTTGGTTAACTGGGTAAGTAGGGCCTCACCCAAAACTCCTTCCACTTCATCCCCATTCGTCTTCTAGATCAGTGGATATTGGACAGACAATTACCTGCTTGTCTGAGGAAGGACCTTCAATTCTGAGGAGGGGTCACTCAACCCAAAACATTGCCTCTGATTTCTCTCCACAGATGCTGCCGGACCAGCTCAGTTTTTCCAGCCATTTCTGTTTTTGTTTCTGATGTCCAGCGTCTGCAGTTCTTTAGGTTTTGGTTACCGGCATGTCCTCTTCTTGTCATTGATATTGCTTTATCATCTTGACATGGTACAGCCTTTGCTTTTTACCCCAGATGTGGGGTCTCAATCATACAGCGCAGAAAATACCCTTCGGCCCATCGAGTCTGCACTGACAACCAAAGTACTCATCCAAATATATTTTAAAGCTGGTGAGGCTTACACCCTCTACTACCTTCCCAGATAGTGCATTCCAGATTCCCATCACCTGCTTGAAAAAAAAAATGTTTTCTCCCCCCCCCAAATCCCCTCTGAATCTCTTACTCCTTACCCTAAAACCATGCCCGCTCGTGATTGACCCCTCAACCAAGGGGAACAGCTGCTGCTCTCTATTCGCCCTGTCTAAACCCCTCAATTTTATACATCTCTAGTCATGTCCCCCCTCAGTCTTCTCTGCTCTAAAGAAAATAATCCAGCCTATTTAGTCATTCCTTATAGCTCAATTGCTCCATCTCAGGCAATATCCTGGTGAAACTCCTCTGTACCCCGTCCAGTGCTGTCACATGCTTCCTTTTAATGAGGTGACCAGAACTGCATACAGTACTCCAGCTATGGCCT